GAAGAACCGACTGGTTTGCCCAAGGTCACGCCGGTGGGACCAGGGAGGCGACCCGCAGCCGGGTCTGGGGGCTTTGACCCCAGCCTGCAGCCGCCGCCGCCGCCGACGGGCGGTCCCGCGGGGTTGGTGGTTTGTCTCCGATGCTTTCTATTGACCTCGGGTGGACGAGCCGAGGGGAAAGTGGTGTCCGGACGAAAGCGGTCCTGCTCTCCAGGTGTTGGCAGCCGTTGTGGGTTCTAGGTGGGCCGCGCCGCCCAGCCGAGCGCCGAGGGCGGGTGGCAGTTCCCAAACTCTGCTGCTCTGTGGGGGGCAGGTCCGAGAGCAGGTTTAAGGAGCCCTCGTTCAGGCAGTTTGTGCCATTTTCGCCTTCGAGTCCTCGGTAATAACTGGTTTCTTTACTTTGCTGTTGATGGCTGTTTGCTTTAATCAGATTTTCTTTGCCTTAAGTAAGTCACTGCCCTTTGCAAATTAGTTTTCTAACAAGAAAACCTTATTTCCTGTGTGTTTAATGACTGGAACAAGTAGCACACTCTGAGGTTTCTACCATTGTCTTTCATCTTGGAACTACTGAGCCATCTGCATTATTTCCCGCCGAGCACCCAGCGCACATACTTTCTGTGTTTAATGCCATTAAAAGAATTTACCGCAAAATTTGGGTGAGTGATATGTGATTCGGAGAAAAAGTTTGGAGAGAAAAAAAAAACTCACAATTTTGTGAAAACTATTTTCCTTTGGAATCTGAAGAACTTGAACCATTATTTCAGAAATATTAAGACTTATCCTAAGATACCTGTTACTTTTCACATTTCAGTTTTTTTTCATATTGACACATTTGAGGCAAAAAATATTTCCGCAAATAAGTTTGTGTGAATATACCTGATCTGGTCAAAATCTTCCTAAGAGACATTACGTTTTAGAATACTGATACACTTAAACAGGAGTATTAAACTTGGCAGAGTGGCAGTTAATTTATTTTATAGTGCTATAAAATGGACAACGTATCCATTGACAGGTTTCTCTTGAGAGTAAACTGCATCAGGGTATATGGCTGTGGATTTGGGCTAAGCAGAGGAAAACTTCTGCATCACTAAGAAGATGAGACAAACGTGTTGCTTTCATCTCACTTTATCTTGTTAATTTGTAGTTTTGTTTTAGTTGGGGTGTGGGGGGTGGAGAGCAGGTTTTTGTCTTTTTTTCTTTCCAGATTTAGCGATGTAAGAAAATAGAAAGAGGTGATAGTAAATTTGAGTTTGTCTTAAACTAGGAAAGACAGTGGAACAGGATAAGTATACAATTGTGAGGAAACTGCCATGAGTTCATAAGCCGGAAGGACCTTTTTAGAAGCATTTAAGGTTGTTAAGAATAGCATTGGGTTTTTTCTTTAAAAAGTCATTGTGGGCATTATTCAAATGCTGGTTGATAATCTCTGGGATGTAATGTTATTGAAGATTTCCAGGAAGATACTTGGGAAAGGCGGGGAAACATTTTACATTTTCAGAGGGACTTTTTCCTTAAAAATACTTGCTAGAGCTTTTTAAAAATTGACATTATTGCCTGAGCCTGAAAGTTTTTAATTGTTATTCATAGTCATACTCCAAATCCCACAGTTTATTTGCCTGTATAATTTGTAACCCAGAGTGAAATTTAAGCAGAATTTATAAGCATAATTTAAGTTGAATTTTTACATCGATGTTTTGCTTAATGTTAGTTACTCTTATTTTTGTTTAAATAAGTCTGTCATTTAAGAATGAGGGAGATTGGGGCTGGGGCTGTAGCCAAGTGGTAGAGTGTCTGCCTCTCACATGTGAGGCACAGGGTTTGATCCTCAGCTCCACATAAAAATAAAGATATTGTGTCCATCTACAAATAAAAAGATATTTAAGGAAAAAAAAAAAGAATGAGGAAGACAGTTTTGTCAATAGAATGTACTAATTATTCACATGTGACAATAGCTACATTTTGTTTTTATTAGATAAAAAAATTATCTAATTTAATAGATAGAAAATTTTGAATACTATAACAGTAACTGCCTTAAGTACTTCTCCCTTGTGCCAGAACTGTGAGCTAATACACAAATTTTTTAAAACATGCTTGAGCAGTGTACTTTCGGAAATATTAAAACGTAATTTTTAAATTTCAAGATTTTTTTAAGCCTAATTTCAGGTCTGCAATAAGTAGATTCAGAATATAAATATTAAAATTTAGTTTTAGAGATTTTTTTTGACTATTTGTGAATACCCATCCTTTAGAAACTTACTGACATGGCGTCAGAAAGAACTTCATGGAGCAGGGGCTTTTGTAGCTTCCAGTGCTTGTCTGTAATGTTTATATAATTTTAAAAACATACATATGGGATGTTTTTATGTGAAAATAAAGTTCACATTGGTATTTGCTGAAGTAAAGTCACTTTTTAAAAAGCTCTAGCAAGTATTTTTAAGGAAAAAGGCCCTCTGAAAATGTAAAATGTTTCCCACCTTTCCCGGTATCTTAAAATTAATGAGTAATAAAACTGTTGAAGTAATATTTTTTCCTTGTAGGTACGATGTGCATTTGTAATTCCTAGAAGATATTTAAGCAAACATTTGTTTACTGTTTATTTTAGAATAGCCTTTTTGACTAGTTGAATAGCTTTGCTTCAGAAAGATACTGTTTTGGGGAATTTTTATGTTAAACTTTCTTTGAACTGCAATTTTTGTTCAGCGTAAGAGAATTAGAGTCATTTAGGATTTTTAATTGAATATGGTTTAGAATAAAATATTATTCCCAAATGCAGCTCTGTCGGACTTGTCCATCTGATAGCTCTTTATTCTCCCAAAAGTTAAGAGTTTTACTAAATCTTTAGGCATTGTACATTTTTATAGTTTTTAACCATTGAGTTCTAGATTCTGGATTCATTTAACCTCTTCTTGAAGAACAGACAGTTATAGACAGTAGAGTTGAGCAGTTTCAGAGACCTTCTAGCGTAGTTATTACGCAGTACAGGAAATCACTCTTGAGAATTCCCACGGCATGTGTTCCTTCCCATTCGTGTGTCATCGAGGTACTGAGCAGTCCAAAACTGGTGCAAACAAAAAGACAGTTTTAACTTTCACCATTCACTGCTTTCAACTGTGCTTTGTAGGATCTTCTTCTCCCTCCTCCCTCTGCCTCATGACATCATGGGTAAATGATAGCTTTTCTATCATTTACAGCTATTAAAAGCTCCAGTCTATTCTAGTTTAAACCTTCAATCTCATATTCAGTTTAGAACTCCTTTCCTCTCTTACTCAGGGTCTGGCTGCAGCAGCACTTGGGGAAGGGGGGATTGTGGTATGCTCTAGGATGCCTCTTTTCTTTTAAGACATCTACTTGGACAGGAATTACTCAGAAGAGAAATGGAAAAAGGCAAGTATTTCTTACCAGTTTCTCCTAATCGCTCAACCTCCTTTATTTGTGTGTGTGTGTGTGTGTGTGGACACGTACTAGGGATTGATCTCAGGAGCATTCTACCTCTGAGATGGTCCTCAGACCATTTTATTTTTTGAGATGGTCTCACTCAATTGCCCAGCTTGGTCTCAGACTTGTCATCCTCCTGCCTCAGCCTCCCAAGTCGCTAGAATTATAGATATGTGCCGTCACACCCAGCTGAGATATGAAACTTTGTTGGGTCCAAAGGTCTCATGATTAACGATGGCAGGCCATTGATATCCACTGGTGAACAACCACACTGACATTTTTGGTGAACTCTTGCCAGGAGACTCCCTACTGCACATAGTTCCTGGGTATGAAATTCTCTGTAGCTAAACCTTTTCCAACCCACACACCACTTGTCTATTCCTGTGAGCGTGGAGTGTGGGTGAGTTTGGGTGAGGATCTTTTTGCTCTGTGTGCAGATTTTTTGATAATGGCAAGACTGCTCAAGTTTAGGTGCTTCTGCATTTCCCCCTAATCCCACTGAAAACTCACTTCCTCTGATGCCATATGATGTCTTATAGACTGCATAAGTATGTGCCCTTTTTCTGTATCCTTCTACTTCCCATCCATTCTCCTTGTTCCCCTGTTCAAATAGACAGGCAGTCACTCAGTCTACCCAATATTTAGACACTGAAATGGAGGATGAGATGCCAGTCTCTCCTCCTTCTGGGTACTTTGATCTTAGTGAGTGATTTTTCTTGGAGGCCTCCACCTCTGTTTTTGGGTGAACACCACCTTATGACTCCTGTGTTCTCTCTGAAGACTTGGAAGATATCTAATTCTTTCCTCTCCTCTGCCACTTGCTTCCATAGAGGGCAGGTGGTGGTTAGGGTGCCAGGGCCCTGAGGTGTTTGTGTGTAGGGAGATGAGGGGGCCAAAACACCACAGAGATTTGATCTTTTTTTTTTTTTTGGTACTGGAGATGGAACCCAAGAGTGCTTTACCACTGAGCTACATCCTCAGTCCTTTTTATTTTTTATTTTGAGACAGTCTCACTAAGTTGATGAGGATGGCCTTGAACTCGCCATCTTCCTACCACAGCCTCCTGAGTTGCTGGAATTATAGGCTGTACCAGCGTGCCTTGATCCTTGATGTTTGTATAATCCACTCTCTTTCCACAGATTCAACCAACCACAGTTAAAAAATATTCGAGAAAAAAAATTGCATTTTTACTAAACATGTAGAGAGACTTTTTTCTTGTCATTATTCCTTAACAAACAATATAGTCACAACTCTTTACATAGCACTTATGTTGTATTAACTATTATACTATAAATATCCTGGGTATGCTTTTTAGTACAGGGAGGATCTACATAAGTTATGTGCAAATACTATGTAATTTTATATAAGGGACTTTAGCATCCACCTAATCCTTATGGATAAGGAGGGAATGACTATCTTCTCAGCCTTTTTTTTTTTTCCCCAGATTTTGGGGCAACGGAACTATGTCCACTCGGCATCTAACAAACAATATGAAGTCCTGTAGGCCTAAGAATGTCTCACTGTGCAGAATTCAGTTTTTCCTTTTCTTTTATTTCTCTCTTTTTGATTTTTTTTTGTTTTTGTTTTTTTGTTTTACTTCCTGGATCCTGACTGGTAAAGTGTTAACTTGTGTATATCTTAATTTATGACTCTTGTAAGATATCCCTACACCTAAGAGCCTAAATAAAGCTGAAGGACAAATTCAGGGGTTAATAATCTAATTTTAATTATTCCTGCCATATGCTGGCTTTCCTAGGAATATAAATCCAAACAGAAATACAGTATTGGAACTTTTCTCCTTCTGT